TAATAACCTTGTTGTTATAGATTTTTCCTTCCAAGGATACATCATGGGAATGCCGAAATCCAAAAAGTTTAGAACAGAATCAGCGAACTTCTTTGTGTGGAGTCCGGCACGCTGTAACTTGTGGCGTTACGGTGACAGATGTATAATAATATCAAATATTGCAATGACTACGATTACCTACTATTATTTTCTATATTAATTTTGAGAGTTTGTTTTATCATGAATGAGCTTTCTTCACAGTGAATAAAAATATTACTTACCTGGGAACTTATATAGAGCGCCACGAGCGCCAATAAATAATAACGGTACGATGTTCCTTGCTGTCACAAAATATATGCACAATTAGTTTCAGTACGTTACATATTCTACGACCAGTCGTGTATGCAATTAACATCTTATCAAACTCCATTATCGCCATTTGTTTTCAAAATTAACATTGAAATTAGAGAAAATACACATATGATTGTGTAAAATGTCCAACCAACATTTTACCGAGAAGATTATAGCATTCAACAAAGGTTACTTCTGGGAATTCACCCTTTAACCAAAATTTACGCCAAACTCGGGTAATTATATATATATATATTTCCGTAAAACTGATAACGATCTAACTGAAACAATGACTTACCATTTTCACAACTTTTGCCAAACCTAAGCCCTGTCGGGCAAATCTTACACTCCGGATTACGAGTAATCAAGAACACTGAAAACGAAATAGAATATATTCAGCTACATGCATTTGGTGAATAATGTGTGTGTGGGATTCGACAATACAGTCATTTTTCAGGGCAGACCTTTAATTTGGCGGATTGGTACATGTACATGGAATCGTCACGTTGTTATGTTTGTTGTATTGTGTTATTTCACATAATTTCACTGACAGACAAATGCCCAACTTGAATGCCAAGATATTAATGATTTAGCGTAAATGTACTTTTTTTTCGAGGTAACATAGTCAAATCTAGTGGTGACGCTGTTTATGAAATACATGATTTTAGTCTCAAAATATTGACAAAACTAGTTCTCACAATGAGGGAGTTCAAATACAATATCAAACGTGAACTTTGGGTGAAATATAAATTTTCAAGTTGTTAAATTCATCGGTGACTTGAATTAACCTGTTCTGACAATTACAGTTGTATATTGCGCCGACTGGAGCAGTTCAAAGATATTGATTTTAACTGAATGTATGCAAACAATGCCCGCTCACTCAGATCTCGAGTCGGTTAAAACTTGGATATCAAAGTTGAAAATGACCTTTTGTTAAATAAATGTATAATAACTGCCCTTTTTATTTAAGTTGTGTGCCAAGAAATTATACCATAAGCAATGGTCACGTGAACAAAATAAACCATTTTTTGGACGCGATAACAAATCAGGGAAATGGAGAAAACCCCGAGAAAATGTAGTATAGTTATGGCTGTAATCGTTAGCCTAAAAGATGTTTTTTTTCATCTTTTTAAAAGGATTCATTTTAGAAAGTATGTTAGATATTTGAACGCGAGACGCGTTTCTTCTTACAAAATTGCGTAGCCGGCTTCCAGTCATGTGCCCAACAAAACATATTCCACAACAGACAATGTATGTTCCATTTGTTAAAATTATTCAAATGAACCTAATTATTAGCTTGACTGTGTGACAAAGGTTCAAAACTATTAAATTAATGTAATGTGTTATGATGTGTTGGAATGTAACGTAATGCAATACAATGTGATGTAATGTAATGCAATGCAATTTAGTTTGATGCGATGCAATGTAACGTAACGTAATGCAAATTTAATATAATGTAATGTAATTAGTATTCAGTTTTATCGATACAATGAAGCCAGTATATACTTTACATCATAAAAATCATTATAAACGAAATAACATAGTTAATTATTAGCCAATTACAATTAATTAATGAAGTATCTGACATACAGGTTGTGTATATCCATAATTAAAACTAGTACATGTATTTACATACGTTCATTAGTACACACATTCATTGAAATAGAATCTATAATTCTGAAAGACTAATCACACCAATTATAACATAAACCTCCCTTGCTGTTTCAGGAAAATCTGTGCTATTTATATTTATTGCACTGGAATTAGATTTCCCAATATTGTGTTAATGGTGTAGAATACCCAGACTATAAAATGATGTCGTAAAGTTACATTACATGTCATAAATAACAATGTTGGATAATTAAAAACGAAATCAATACGTCATTTTAGGACCAGAAAATATCTTTATCTCAGTGACAACAAAATGTATCACAAAGTACTTGAATTCAAGAATTAGCAAAATGGCATTTTAGTGAGTCTATGAATGTGTTTTCATTGTGGCCTTTGGACTCCGGTGTAAAATAGACGCTGTGTTGCTTATTGACAGATACACTACCTTAAGCTATTGAAAGTACTTCAATGTTATATTGAGCAACTGTTATTATTATCGTAATTTCAACGGAAGTATAAATTATATGATATATAATATTAACTTTACCTGCGGAATAGACTGTGGGTATATTGAGATCGCTACGTTCGACCAGTCTGTACTTCACTTCTCGCCTCCTTCAGCTAAGCACTGTGATTAATGAAATCGGGGTGAAAGTCGTTTAACATAAATAACTAGACTTGATTGAAAAACAAATAATTGTTTAATGTGTCAATGACGTTTACTTCCGGGTCTGTTCTATTATGTTTCAAGGGTGGGAAAGTACACTTTGAGGAGGGGAACAGAAAAAAAAAAGTGCTTCAGGGTTGTAATACCTGGTGTCTGTTGAATTGCAATAGTGTTTTTACGGTAATATATATATATTATTCCATAATCGTTGCCATAATTTACTACTCAAAATACCTAGCGATTTCGAGCAATGCATATTCTTCTGTAGCATATACTTTAATAAGCCAACACACAAACAAACAAACAAACAAACAAACAATTTATATGCTTCGTTGACAGAGTTATTTTTCCACAGGAATCGATAAAATACAAAACAGAATCATAATTAAACCTTGAGCTGTTACCGTGATTTATTGTGATTTTTGAAAGATGTACAAATGTGTGGGATACTTATCCAGAATCAAAATATCGATCTGTCTCGTGGCCGAGAATGACAAAAAAGAATGTGGTTTAGGAAGTATATGTCTCAACAACTCTTCTCAATATTTAGTCGGGAATTAGCTGTTGAGGCTACCAAAATTCATATGAATTCTTAGATTTGCGAACCCTCCTTTTAATTTGAAAATGGCCGCCGAGTTCTCGTTGAGAGCGAGAGAGTCAATCTAGTATTGCCTCGAATAGTTTTCTATTCTCTGGCGTCATCGTGTTTACTGTTCCCATTGATCTATGTATCCAAGTTATTAGGGACAGTGAGCGTGATGATGGGAAGGGGGAATGAACATTATTTAAGGAAGGAAAACAACTGAAGTCTCGTGATTTTCTCAATGTCAACGAGATTTCGATCTTCATTTGCGTCTAAGATGTGCACAACGTCATGGAAAACAAACTATTAGACTTGAATGAAGTCTGAAAAGATAACAGTGACTCTCGGGGTCTGGTATCGAGTTACTGTGCAAACCCCTGACAATCATGAATAACAAACTAGCTCCATGATAAATTTTGAGCTGAGAAATATTACTGAAATCAATATGCAAGTGTTCATTAGTCAACAATGAATTATGTACCCTTGGGTGTTACAAAATAGTAGCAAGAACCCACTATTTTGGGGGGAAACGGATTAAGGCATAATAATTATTTAAAGAGAAAAAAATTATTTCTGTCAGTCACGATATATAATTTTATTCACTCTGTTACACTCACAAAACGCCGGTATCTTCATAGTTAAACGTATTGCTTGCTAACAGCAAATTTATGGAAATTCTAGAACTGAAAAATGGCCATGCCGAGGTACTGTATTTATAACCACCCTGTTGTAGTAAAACTGTATGTTATTCCCCAATCATTTAAGCGCATTCAACATTATAATGGATAAAAGTACAACATAATGAAATTTCTAAAGATTTAAAAAAAATATATATTTTAAGATGGTTTGATTATATGAGCCTCGGGCTCAAAAGTGGTATGAGATATAACAGTTTAACAGTCCTTGATCAAAATCACGATTATTTATGTCTATATCAATTGTGTGGAAGATAACACGACCGTATTTACGAGATATGTACATTATGACCGTAATGTGGAATTACATTTTACGAGGAACAGAAATAAAAAAAAATTCTTTTCACCGCCCAATATGACATCACCATATGGTATTGCTAGCACAGAGGATAGAAGAATGGCTGATTTGATGGTTGTCTTATTGTGATGGATTGTACATCCGATATTCCACCTTTTGTTGTTGCAATATTTGAGACAAGGGGAAACGGTGGAATGGGGGGGGGGCTACTAAAACTGCGTGGTTACGAGGGCTAGATGCGTATTTGGATGGACACATTCGAACGCATTTGATGATGATATTTCTACTGTAAATCTCCTATAAGACTGTATACAACCAACCACAAAAATCGTCTCCAGGCAATGTTACAATTGTCAATTAATAGTGAAAAAACATA